TAATAAAAATATGATTAAGAGAAAGTGGAAGAATTCGTGGAGAAATAAGGCAGACTAGTTGTGGACAACTGGAATTCTGTGAAATTATCTTTCACTTTCATCGATCAGTACTTCGTGAATGAATGGAAACCTTTGACAAGAGTTGGTGAAACGAGTTTCCAAGTATCGGTCTTAACTTGCGATTAGTATCTGCACTGAGGGACAGATCCTGTCACCGTGCAGCAACGAGGGTCGATACGAACGTCATGGCGAGAACCCTCGAACGTTGGCCGAACGTTGATTACCTCATTGTTGCTTCTGAGCTGCAGAGTAAAGTCACGGTTTTTTGCATAGAAGGCGCGCAAAACAGGATGTCGAATTGGAACACTACGATTGCGGAAATCGGCTTAATAGGCAGTTGCTGAACATTCCGCTATTACCGATCACCGCGTTTGTATCCTTTTTTCATTGTCCTCCTTTCTCCGAACTCCCGAAAAAACCGTCAATTAATGAGCAAAATAGGCAGATATTGCTTAATTAAGCAAAAAAAAAAAGAGTTCAATTAAGTAATATATTTAGTTAAGGAAGTATTAGACACATTTTCAAAATAATGAAAAAATTACAGATTAAATCTTAATAAGTAAATCTTAAAAGTAATATGAAAAATTATGATGGTTTAGAACTTGAATAAAAAATTATTCCAGTAGAAGTGCTTTTATCTGTGCTGTAATAGAAATATAATTGAGAAATAATTACAAAAGTCCCAAATTTTTTATGTAAGTATTTAAAATGATTGATAAGTATTTAAATATTCAAAATGATTTATATGAAATTTCATCTTGCGATGCAGAGATTAGTTATTCCGCAAATAAACAAAGTTAATTTGTTTATTTATAGAAAAAGTAATCTCTGCAAACTTCGTATAAATCTTGAATACTTAAAGCTTATACAAAAAAATTAAGATGTCATTTGTTAAATTTTAGCATTTAACAATAAAAAATAATAAAAATACAAAGTAAATAAAATAATAATAATAAGTAAATTTCAAGGCTAATGAGAGTAAATAAACTATACAAATATGTTGTTAAATGAAAATATAATTATATATAATTATAATTATTCCCACAACTTTTATGTATATACATATATAGTTTATTTAAAATATAAATATTAATACATTTGTGAAAATGTGTATGATACATTATTAAATCATATTCAAACTTCCTGTATGTATCTCAATATTATACATACAAATTTTTAAACGAGTAATCGCACAAACAGATTCATCATTTAAAAAAGTCCTTAAAATGTCTCGCTTTTTACGACTCTTAATTACACTTAGTAGGACACAAGATGATTTATTTCTGCAGTTAGGCAATCAGGCCTACACGTATATAGGCAATGACGATATTTCATTGTACTTCATTGACAATTATAATTTTAATTAACGGAAACGACGCTTGCGGTCAGTGCGGTCCTCAAGTATCCCTAGCACTTGAGACGTATATTACGTAGCTGTTGTTGAGTCACGATGACGCTTTGACAGAAATAAATCGCAAGATCTAAGCGATTTTACATGATGTTTAAAAAATGACGCTGTCGATGTAAAATAACAGATCAAATAAAATAACAATATTCGAACGATTTCATATGTAACAATCTGTAATAATATAATTTCGCGTGCGTGTATCGCTTTTAATATTTTATTCAAGCTATTAATTTGATTTATCATTGAAAAGATGATAAAAGTAGTTATTGGGTCATTTAAAAATTGAACAAAAAACCGCGGATACTTTTTAAATGACCTAATATATCCGGCCTTTCGTCTTTCGAGATTATCGTGTTCCAATTATCATGTGTCCAATAATTATCATTAAGTAACACTAAAAAGTTGTCGACCTCCTAATCGCATAATTTATCACATGCAGATAAATGTATTAATTAAAAAAATTAAGATTATTAAGGATTATAAATTTCTGTCTGCGATATGCAGTATATGCCTACATATATTGCGCGTTCGCATGAATATAAGATTAGAGAGAAAGTAGTTAATTAAAATCGTCTTATATGTTTTCTGAATAAAGGTAGGCTCGGCAATGTTTGTTCGAAAACTTGAATTCGACGACAAAAAAAGATTCTGTCGTGCAGCAGCTGTTGAGATTTCCAGTTCTAGACGATCCTTAAAACCAGATGCCTCGAGTATCAAACATTTCGGGCATCCTCATCCTCATACTTCGTGTGTTACAGTGAAATGAAAGAAACAAGATTCACATCGTATAAAAAAAAGATTTTATCGTTTTTTAAATTAATCATTACTATTATATTTCCTATTTTATATAAAATATTTTATACGTTTAACAAATCTCGCGTTTTCAGGAATAGAAGATCAATAAAAATTTACGTGTCTATTAAGCTGACACAGTGATTTTAGCACAAACAGATTGAATACACATTTCGCAATCCGATGTTGTTGACTCATCCGTAATTTTGAAATATCGGCCTCATTTACAATCCTAGTACTGTTTCACAATTAGAGAAAACAATATAGTGATAGCCAAATTTTAACTCAATTAATATTACAAAATTTTATACATAGTAAAATTAATATACATAGTTGAAATTTATATTTATACTTTAATTATATAAATTTTATGTAAAATTTATGTAATTGTTACTTTTATAGTTACTATCATTATGTTTCTCTGAATGTAATTATTTCAATTTCATCAAATTGTAAGTTCAATGGCACAGTTATCGCTTATATTTTTATTTTTGATGAAATAAGCGGTAACAAAATCGAATAAAACAGAAAAAAATATTCAATTTCTGTATATATCTCATACGAATGTTATGTTAAATATGGCTGGGCCAGCATATTGTGCCATTAGAATAATTGTAGTTCTTATTCACATTTATTGAGAAATTGAGACTTTCTTTTCAGAAAAAAAAAGTGACACACTTTAATGCACGTTTATATGATATTAGAAACATACAAAAACTTATAACTGTTGCGTATGTATTGCAGCAATGTAAAGTTTGTAGATATAATGTAAACATCTTTTTCTTGTTTATCAATTCAAAGCGGCGTACGCCTTGATAAGAATCCGAGTGTTGAATGAAATTTTTCGAATGTTCGATAAACAAACTATAAGAAACAAAATTCTAAGAAATCATGCAGATTATTAAATTTTTATTAATTCGGTTTTTTGAAATATACCAAATAAAATTTACAAAATGTTGTTATTGTATCAAATAAATTGTGAACGACTTTTATGAAACGTGAACGTATTTATACATAATTATAACTTAATGTACAGAAATGTTAATATCGAATTTAGCATTCGAATGTCATACATATGTAAAACTGACGATAACTGATGAAGTCAGTTAACTCTGCTTTCCATTATTCTTAATAACACATCAATATACGACTTTCTCTCGATGGCATATGATGCCATATATTGAAATACTTGCAAATGAAACGTCCTAGTAAGATTAACATTAAAAAATTTAAAGTCGACACATCTCAATTCATCTGGAATATAATATAGTCAATAAATGCTCAAAGTTTTTTTATATAAATACGAAATTAAATGTATAGAAAGTTTTGAAAGTGTTCATTGTGCAAAATTAAATTAAAAAAGTCAAGATATTTTTTCGTCCGAATTGTAAAATAAAATATATAAGTAACAGTTCATCTTTTATTATAAATTTGAAAACATATGTAAATTTTTTTAAAAAATATAAAAAATTATTCATGTCGTAAATATCCTGGCAATTTCATTATAAATGTCAAGTCCGAATTCATACATTATTCACTAATTTGCAGATTTTAGTGAAACTAATATGAATGTAATTTATTTAAAGTTTAATCATGAATATATAGAAATTTTGAACGCCTTTCGTATCCGTGTTGTATAGATAACTGAAACGTGTTGTTGCAAAACGCGAACACAATTGCGTGTACAATGATAAGATCGCTTTTCTCGAACAGCGAAATAGAGGAAGAGCTAATTTCGCGAGATAATCCGGTTTCGTGCTCTAAAAAATACGATATCGAGGTCGACTTCACGCGACATCGGTATCAAAAACCTTTGTCCTATCCACGTGCGTCAAAGAAAACTGCGGATATAGATGTGCGTGTGCATGCGCGTTTGCGTGCGATCCGTTCCATGTTACGTTCATTCCTTCTGCATGTAGAATAATTATATAAACGTGTATCATATACATATTTAATTGTAAGACATAACGACGTCCGGTAACCGTGTACACAGTGCCTCGGAAATCACGTACTTTCTCTCGAGAAATGTGTGACTTTGGATATAGTCTGTATGTTTTTTAATATCATATAGTTATCTCGTAATATTCGCGTAAATTGCAAATTTAAATAGTTTTTCGATATTTCCCTTAATAGAAACGTTGAAACGCCAATATTTTCTACAATTAAAAGTTAAAAAATCCACGAATTAAAATTTTCAGTCTTCAGACGAATAATAAAGCCATGTTTTAAATAAAACTCTAGATTTATCAAAGTAGTGCAAAGGTATGCCAGGTTTGCTCTAATCGTATCATATGAAAGAATTAAAGAATTATTAAGCGCTTATTCGATGATAGACTAGTTAAGTAAAAAATGGCAATCGAAATACGCAGGAAAGCAGCCAATAGGAAGATTGTCAGTGTTTACTAGGATAAGAGATTTGACTCTGGTAAAGATAGAGCTCCAGTTTTAGAGACATTCCCCTGCAAGTGGGACTTGTAACAGAATTATAAATATAATTTTTCAAACAACCATAAAAAGTCCAAAAGTTTCGAAAAATTGCGTTGAACTAATATTTCAGTTGCGAACAAATTTCTTTTGAATTGATCAGAATCTGCGTAAAGAGAATGCACGATTTTATGATCGTATAAAGTATATATAATCGGGAGCTCTGTGTAAAGCAATTCACATATTCCTGAGAAAGACCTCACAAGAATCAACCCGGATCTTCGTCTCCTACGTCATATCCGTGATAGACAAATACCTTCGCGTATCTGACGTCTCTTTATGGGTTGCGGTGCACCAGTACGTCTTCTCCTCGCATAGGTGTGAACTGGCACAATCAATCTCGGCCGCGGAATGAGGAAGCCTCCTTGAGCGTTGTCAGGTGACGACTGGTTCGTCTCAGGGCATTCGCTGTCTGTGGTACCGGTGCTGCTGGATCCCCTGGACCGCGCATCTTCCTCTCTTGCCGAGGACGGCCCGTTGTTCGGATCCTCCAACGCAGCTTCAAATCGCGATACCACTTCGTCGGCGTATGGTCGCCTGTAAGGCTCGTCGTCTTGTTGCTTGGCGGAAATCTTGCTGCTGCCGTTGCTGGTCCAGTTGACCCCGCACTCCCGCCAGCTGGCCTCGTAGAGCAATTCCATTGCTCTGCCGCGCGTCGCGTCCGGGTCCAGAAGGAGTTCGGGATCCTCCAGAACCGCCCGGCCGGGATAACTCCGGACCTTCATGACCTCGAAAGTCGCGTGCGAACAGAAAGCAAAGATCGAGAAGTTGAGCCGGGCGTCTCGCTCTACACGGTCTACTACTCGGTCGGCGAGACTTTCGCTTCGTGATTTTTTTCTTTTTTCGACCCTCTCGAGTCCTACTGCGCAAAGGTCAAAAGTCGCGCGCTACGTGGCGACAACGCTAACATCGCTTTCATTCGGCGAGATAAGATTAATAGCGTTCCTGCAGGTAGACATTCTTGACTCTTTAGTTCGCCTTTCCGCTGTAGATCCGTGATTTATCCGTTGAGATCCGTTGAGTCGGTATGTTTATTCCTCCTTGTCTGTTCTAATCTTCTTTAGCTTTGTTGATTACAAATCATGCGACGAATAACAAAGCAATTGGCTGTCGAAAGCAATCGGTTCACGAAGATGAGAATTGAAATTCGCCGACCGGATTCATTGACGTTCGGAATGGGAACGTAAAGTTCCAGTTGAAACAACCGAGAAACATCGCGGCACGAGTCTGGCGTCGGTCCAGAACAAAGATCGACGACCCACGCGAAAGAAAAGATCACTTATCTTCGGATTTTCGCATCGATCATTCGGGTTCGATAGAAATGTTACCGGAATTCCTAAAAAGTAGGCGGACTACCGACAGACGGACGACAAGACCAAGAAACAAGTTCGACGGACGTTGACGTCGGATCCGCGTATTCACAACCGTTCATTCGCGACTTCCGCTATCCGGCCGTCACTGGCAAACCGGCGTGCTACGAAACAACGGGAAACCGAAGTCATCACCAGATTACCGATCTTCTTAGTCTAAAGAACCTGTTGAGTCTCCGCAGGATTCTGCCATTTCTCGTTGTCCTCGAGCGAATAAGAATCCTTGTCTACAGGATGGACGAGGATCAAGGACGAAAAAAGTGTCGTCGAAGATAAAGAACATATCGACGAATTTTCTGTTATTTATAAAAGCTTCAAATACGCAAAATTGTTTCTTTCGCACTTATATTGAATTTTGCAACCTGGACCTTCAACACAGATGATCGATAAGCAACGATAAATAACGTTGAACGATATTACGTTGCGTCACTAATAGCTAGTTAGTAGTTACTTTTGAAAACAATGCGGGAGAAGAATCCTGTCAAAGGAGGACACTACTACGATTGCGAATCGCATCGCGTCTGACGCTCACTGACAGTATTCGCGACTGATGAAAAGTATGCCCGTGAGCGGCAAGCAGCACCACGAGAAACTCCCTTCCCTTGGCGAACCGCGGGAGTCCCCACCATGGATATGCACTCGTGAGAGAAAGGACAGAGGTTCTCATTTCCTTTCGTACTCGCCCCCGCAATCGCTCCCATGTATGAGTGCAACGGCACTTCTTTTTACCTGCGATCGCAAAAGGTCCGGGTCTCAGAAATTATAAGGCCCTGCTAACTTCATTAGCAAAAATAGGTGTAATAAGCCGATGAAGATAAATGTAAAATAAAAAGATACGAGGAAACAATATGTAATCTAATTTATAATACACACAAATTTATTATAAAAATATTTATAGTGTACTAATATAATCTTTGTATATCTACACATATTTTTGTACGTATATTATTGCTTAAATTTAATACTTCAGCTTTTTAATGCATTTTGCAGTAATTTAACATTTTTTACAATCTGTATTGATTCTTTTAAAAATGTTCAATCAAAAGTTAGAGCTGTAAGATATTTAAACACGGTTTTCTTAAATTCACGTAATGCAAAGCAAATCTACGTTAAATTTCTGAAATGTCATGAAAATGAAATGACTAATAAAAATTTTCGTACATGATTGATGAAAACTTTCCACTTTATTTGAACGTTAAACAATAATCACAATCATGTGTGTATATATACAGAGAATGTTTGCTGTTAATTGCGTAATTATGACACGGATGAGTGATAATACTAATGATTGGATCAGTTGAGAAAGAGAGGGAAAAGCGACAAGTACTGCATTTTTACGTGAAAGTAAAATGCGGCACGTCATTCATTACGAAATGGCATCGACGCGATGCCTTTGTCCAACAGAAATCGAATTCCGGGAGAAAAAAAACTGGACAGAATAATTGTTTAAGTATAATTTAGTCGATATCAGATCGTTTCTATCGTAGGGATAACATAACGTTCAATCTGCATTTACTATCGTATTGTGAAACGGATGTGAATATTTAAATCTAATACGTCCAAAATCCGGAAGCTTTTATTGTACAAAATTACAATACAATTAGATATTATTTGATCAGAATCTAAATAGGAAATTTAATTCAGACCTGAATATATATCCAATGCTAAATGTGAATTAATGAATACAATGAAAAACTTTTTTCATAAGTTGTGATTAAAATAGTATTAAAACAGTATTCATACAACAAAATTTTTCTTAGTTTTAAACATATCTGTATATTTAATTGTGTTACATGGAAAGATTTTGCTAAAGTATCTAAAAATTTAAGTAGATATAGATCTAAAAATAATTTTGTTAGACTATCCAAATATTATGTAGGCAACTCAAACATAATGCTGCAATACTGCAAAAGTTTTGATATTCTAGCAACTAATTTGAACATCATATATAATTATTTTGATAGTCTAACAAAATTATTTTCAGATTTATATCAAATTAAATTTTTAGATATTTTAGCAAAATCATTCTTTACTTGTATTTTTCCAAGAGATATATTCAGAAGAAAACAGATTTCCAAAAAAAATTTCATAAGAATTATTTTTACATACAAAAATTATTTAGAAAGGCGTAAAATTTGTTGTTATGATAAATATGTAATTTTTCCAATAATGACGCATTATTAATAAATATCTGACTAAATAATTTTACTGTCAACACAAAATTAACATCGATGATAATTGCCTGTTTGATATTCGCGTAAATTATTCTTACAGTTCTTATCCGTATATAGTATTGTAGTTAAGCTTATGAGTTACGTAATCATATATTTGTACGTAGCAATTTTTTAAACATTATGCATTATGCATTTATCAATTTATGTTATTATATCAATACAAACGATACTTAAACATGCTGAACTAAAATAAATTTAACTGAATTTAATAGGAAAATATGTACGTGAAAAAATTAAATGAGAAATATCTGTATAATATCGCTTCAAAAGTTGCAAAATCGTTTCACAGAATGTAATTATATATTTTTTTCTTATAAATATACAGGGGATATTTACATAGCCATTACGTTACCTGCATTCATTATTAATTGCTCAAGCATTATTTCCGCTCATCATCACCATCCAATAAAATGATTTATTTATGAGACTATCCTTCTTAAAACTACTTCTGTTTTTCTTTGACTTTTAAATATCTCAGCGAAATAAAATAAATATATGGATCTTATTTTCCAAGTAATTGGAGAATTTACGCGGAACAACTTTCTAAGTTTTATAGTTAGTAGTAAAAGCAAAATCAAATTAGTTTTGAAAAGTCATTTCGCAATTTATATTAAAATACATATATGTAAAATAAGTTTACCTCTTATATTTTGAATTATTCTACAACATAAAAATTCATCGAACTTGAACAGATAATTGCGAACACTTTCATAAAGATAAACAAAGTTAAAAAAATCACATGTACGATAGCTTAAGTACACAATGTTGATTGTTCTTTATATATGTGTGTGTATATATATATATATATATATATATAAGAAATATATGTAAGAAATATGCATCAAGAAATTCAATTATTTAGATAAGAATGCATTATATCATATAAATTATTATAAATTTTCTTATGCATTTTCGACAAAAAATTTATTTTCCTTTATTTTGCATAGAGTCTATAAACAAAATTACGATATCATGTTTTTAAAATATTTGCACAAATGTTGAAGATATAAGGAGATTTGTAAACATCTCAAAGCAGAACAGGTAACTCCAGTTAATAACAATACAATCTTCTTAGAAAGACTCGTTGCTTTTCCTGTTGATTCCATATTGTCAATTGTAATTATGCAGGAAAGAAATAAATGGTGAAAGCTTTTCCCGTGCGAGAGATCTTGAACAAACATAGCCGAAGAATAACAACAGATAACCAACAGGTGCGTTTGCGTCAGTATTCTCACATAAAAAAGCATCGCAATATGCAAACAATATAAGAATAAAAATTAATCTGCAGGCGAAAGTTTTTTCTAAATATATCATAGAATAATTTTTATTCTCGACGCGTTGCGACGGTGGAGAAACGGTTACGTATGGGAGAAAATAGGCTCGTAAAAAGAAATTCCAATCAGTAGAGAAATCAAAATAATTACTATAATATATAATTTCGAAATAGTTGATCAAATATAAAATAACTAAATGTATTTAACTAAATCTTTTTTTCACATAATTACGAATTTGCTTGGAACAAGTTTTTATATTTTATAGTTAATATTTAAAAGCAAATGTGTATCAAGTTTTGAAAAGTAATTTCCATTAAAATATGTATAAAATAAATATATTTCTTATATTTTTAACTATCTTATGACATGAAAGTTTGTCAAACAATTCGAACAGAAAAGCAAATATTTTGTTTTTATTCACTTTGTACGAAACTTTTCGCAAAAACAGTTAATATTTATTTTCTGTTTTCATCGTGTGATATTATTAACGATCTGTTTATTATTTAATTTGTCTTCAAGCAGCAATTCTCATAACGCTTTACAAATTTTCTCGGAACTGACACATTTCATAAAGCTGAGTAGCTATTTACTTACCCTCCATGACGAAGACAGTAGAGCCGACATCTCCCTCTTGTATAATTATCGAACCGGCTGGAAATGTAACAGGATACATGCAATCGACAATCTCCCGGATTTGCGTAAGTTCCAAATTTTTCATAAAGTCGTTGTCCAGTATGGCAGTTTTGATCAGCTCGCGAGATCTTGAAAAAAAAAAAGAAAATCGTTGTTAATTTCTCTCTTTCTCTCTCTCATTTCTTCTCTCAGTTAATCTCTTTTATATTAAAAGAAATAATATTCTTATAGGAAAGCGGAAGCATAAATAAATAATAAAAATATAATATTAAATATAAAAATCAAAAATCTTTTTCAGGAACAGATTGTTTAACAAATTTAATTATAAGAAAAATTCTTAGGCAAAAGTCCAATAAAAGTATAATAACATAGCATTAAATTATTAATTACACAAAAAAAAAGATTTTGTTGTATAATATCTAAAAAAAAGTAGATGTATACAGATAATTTAAGAATAATTTTATTGGATTATCAAAATAATTATGTAGGATATTCAAGCGCTAAAATGTCACTTTTTGCAGAATTGCTCATCATGCTTGAATTTCCATACATAATTATTTTGATGGTTCAACAAAATTATTTTCAGATCTGTATCAATATAAATTTTAAACAATTTTAGCAAAATTGTTCTTGTGTAATCTTTAAAGTGTAACACTGACTTCGATCTAAAAATATAAATCAGTATTATAAAGAATGCAATGTATTGAAATTGATACCTTCCAGGTATCCCATCATTGATAACCCAGGTGTGAAATTAACACGACATTCTTTAACATTAAAAAAATAACTCTAGTTATTTACAATTCCTTATAAAAATAAAAAAGTTCCGCATTTTTATACTAAAATCAAAATTAAAGATATGGTATGTTAATTTTGATTTTTTAATAAAACTGCAGAACTTTTTTTATTATTGTAAGCATCTGTAGAGTTATGAACTGTCATTATTTTTTTATATAATAGAATGTGTCTATACGTACTAACTTCATAAATGGAATCATTCATGCGTAGTTACCGCTTTCAATAAAATTAATTGATTCTTTTGGAGCAGAATCTACATTAAATAAAATTTTGACGAAACTATATATGTTTTATTTAATTTCATTTTTATAAACTGCAGTGAGTACAAAAAGTACAAAAATTCGTACAGAGAAAATATTTTTTAAAAAAACTTTATTTTTAAAAAATAAATATTATATCCAGCGAGAAACGAGTCATCGAATTGATGTGAAATCGATATAACTTTGATGATTTTAATACCAATTTGACATCGATTCGACATTTAATTAACGATCATTTCTTGTTGAATAATTAAAAATTTATTCATAAAGAATAAAATAGACTGTATGTTTCTTAAAATTATATATACCAAAATGATGTGTATTAATTATACAAAATATATCATCCTAAAAATAAGCGAAAATTAAAAATTATATTGTTTGAATGCTCAAAAAGTATTCGTACAGACGAGAAATTTAACTTCTAAAATCAGAAATACATGCGAAGCTCGTTTGTTTCCGTTAGAACAGAATGTATTCATTGTATAAAATTGCCAATTAATGTTTATTTTCTACAAATAAAGTTTTTTTAATAATAAATTTCCTTGTACGAATACTTTTTGCTCTCACTGTATATTTTTAAAATTTAAAATACAGTCGAGTACAGCTTCGAACGATCGACGTCTAGAATTAAAACTATCGTTTTGAAAAAGTGTCACATTATGAATTTATTAAATATTATATAATCGCAGATTAATAGGAAATATCTCATTTATGCTCAAATGAGCACACATATTTACAGTAATCATTTTCTGTGTTAAATGTCAAGATACCTATAAAATCAAGAACTGTTACCACGATATCAGAATTTATATAAGATATAAATGCAGTAATGAAAATGACAAAAAAAAGCACGAACGCGCTTCTAATAAAAAAAAAAATCGAAAGTTTGATGAATAAAATAGAAGTCATGTGACGTTCAAGGCATTTGCCGATCTACCTTTGCGGCTTGGTAAACTTCATCACCGGTTTCGTATCACTTCTGATAGGTTCGGCTGATATGGCTTGTCGCTTCAGTCTCTGATTAGAATCGATGGCAGTAGACGCCAGATTCAGCTCGACAATCTGCCGGAACTTATCGATCTCATTCTGGAGGTAACGGATCGTAGCGTCGCGTTCCTCGAGCGCCTTTTCAAGTATTTCGACGATCTCATCGCGACGTCGCAATGCCTCCGTACGTTCATACAGCAATCGCTTCAAGTCTCGTATCGAATCCATTCCCTTTGCTCTTCACCGTGCAAAATTCACGAATGGCACTCTTCCTCCCCGTCAAACAATATCGCGCGCGATCCCGCGTGCCATACACTGCGAAAATGTCACGCTGCACTTTTATTGTTCTTCAACGAACCTTTACAAGCGCAACAACAAATGAGAAAGTGCATGAGTGTGAACAAAAGCTGCGCATAACAAAGATCGTAAAAGTTCACACACAAACGTATCTATATATCTGACAATCTGATGTTCCATCGAACCTTAAAAATGATAATAGAAGTGATTTGTGTAAAAATATTGATCTAGTTTTGCAATTTAATTAGTAATTTCCATTCCCGAATTTCAGATTTATAAAATGTTGATATGATTGATAGAGGATTTCGGCTTTTCTTCAAAAAATTTTTAACTATCTATTTCACTTTAAAAAGAATTCTAATGATTAAGTTTAAAAAATAAAAATACAAAGTGATATAGAATGCCTTAAATACATACACACACACATACTTTCGTCGTAATAGCATTTTTATTTCAGTTAAAATTGATTTGAATCATAGTTTTCTATAAATCTCTGGAGGTATTACCTAAATCTCTTAAAAGAATGCAACATTAAAAAAAAATTTTATTCTAAGATAGATAAAAAGTAGTCTTAGACAATTTTTCCATATTATATTTAATATAGATGTCATAAAAATCTCAATAGTTAAACAAAGAGTCGAGCACAAAATTAAAGTTCCTGTCGAACACGAAGACACGATTCCAAAAGCTAGAAAGATATATTTATTGCCTCAGTAATAAGCCAAAGTTAGAAGCACGTCGGTTACATAAGACATTTAGATACGGCCTATATAAATAACATAACAAAAAGGATATTGTAGAAAAAAACTTTCTGGAGAGAATAATGACTGCTAATATTATCTCGAGAAACAGGTCCGTACAATATAATTACATGTTGCTGTGCACAAGATTACGAATCACGCTTGTACTCAAGGCGCTTTACAATAATATCATGATTGTAATAAAACGTACTTATAATATGAAAATATTAGTGTATAAAAAGTTCTCTATATCTTAGATAATCCTTCGATAGTTGTCAAGAATTCTCGGATGCTATATTTAACATAACATGTTTGTAATTTAGATTGAGACATGAAGGAAATATTTTAAGCACTTTCCGCATTTTCTTAAATAACTTACTCATATTGCTCATTTTATTACATAATCAGAGAAGAAAATAAAATAGAATACGTACATATAGATAAAAATTAATTATGTACATTATGAGTAAAGCATTAAAATCGCTTGGAGATTGTACGATTAACAATTAAATATTTTATATCAATGTTCACATGTTACATCAATCTATTTAATAATTGAACGTATACAGAGAATTTTCATTAAAATTAACTGTGATAGATAAAGCAAGAATGAATGGAACAAATATTCACTACTCGCAATCCGCTTCAATCAAAGCAATCTATGTTCGTGACGTCCAAAAATGGCGAGTATTATTATATATTCGTCACGATTGTTTTTTTCCTTGTTGCTACATTATTATCAAAATATGTGGCGCATGAGCAAAGCTGGACTATCAAAACTTATCGATATTTCCCAGCAAAAAATAAGATACGTAAACACAGATAATTCTGATTATTAAATACGTCAATAAGAAGAATCTCCGCTGATTCTTCTAGACTTTATTAAGCGTTGCTCAATTTGGAGCAGACTACCAGTACCTCGTTCAATCTGTCTTAATTAAGCTGTCGAGCTACAGCATCGCACGACACTCAAAGAATGATCAGTATTAACTCACTCGCGTGTCTCACGATCGCCAACTGAATTGAAAACTAAATGAAAATTTTTTTTTAATTGTATGAATTGACACTAAAAAAAACTTGCATTCAAGTAAAGAATTTGCTATAAATACTCTGAAGTATAGACATCTCGATTAAACCGAAGATTTTTTTGAATGTCCAATTACTCCGATTAGATATCTAATCTTTACATTGACACTTTAAATCTTTCGATGGCATCACATGACGATTTCACGACGCAAAAACGTTTCTATTGCACAAAAGTAAAGGATCGAATTATTGAGAAAAAGGTAAAGAATTTAAATCAACGAGTGCAATTAACTTCCTCGAGTTAAAGATTGTTTTCTTTTACGGGATCCATAAATGTTAATGAAATCCTAGTTAACTTCAACCATTGCTTATGGATATAATTTATAAAAAAATCAATTCTCTAACGATATGCCGCTGACTTCTGTTAGCGATTCAGACGTTAAGCAGGAACCAATATATAACTTCACCAAATTTAATTTTCCATTAGATAAATGCGAGAAATAAACGCGAAGATTACCAGCACGACATCGAAATTTGAACTTGTCAAGATTAATACGAATTTCAATTACTCGACATTAATATCGCGATCGGATTTGAAACTTGTGATCGAATTGACGATTTACAATGGACACGATCGCGCGTAAAAATGGATCTATCGAAAAGTCCGCCGCGGCTTATCGCTTCCTTAAGTGACACAATCGAACTGATAAGATCACTCGTAAAAAGATCACTAGGACCACGCGTTTACACGCACATAGTGCGTAACTGAAGAAACAAGCCGCTCCGGGTTTGCGCGTAGATGGGGCGGCAACGACTAACGATCATGTAGTACGCGCACCAGCTATTTTTACGTTTTAATCGCGACTCTTGCGACTTCCTCCAAACGCTCGTTCTCCCATCATGCGTCCGTCATCATCACGTTCGCGAGGCCGCTTCGACAGTCAATTAAAAAAAAAGTAGCTTCTCCTTTCACCGTCATTTTGGCCCTTCGATTCGACTGTCCCTGGCCGATTACCGGTACATATATACGTGCCGATCTATCCCACGAAATACGTGCGATCGCGACTATTGAACGCTAACAATGGCGTAGGGGAAAATTGGGGTGTCAATCAAGGTTTGGAAAGTTCATTGATATGTTATTTATGAGGGATTTGAAAATTAATTTCTACATGAGATCTAGATTTGATAACTTAATTCGTTTAACATTAACTCTTTAGCATTAACGCTAACAAATGCGATATTATGGGAACAACACACTTCGGTGTATGGTATATTCAATTGCTCATAATTTTCATCAAAATAAATAAAGTGTAGAAAATTTTGTTTCAATCGAAACACCTCAAGAAACACAAATTCCTCTTTACTAATGAAAAAGTTACAAATGTTAGAAAAGCATTGGAAAAAGAAAGATGATACATTGTAAGATTAAAAAAGTTACGGGTTAAGATTAATAATATTTGTTTTATTATTTCACATTAATTATTTTCCATTTAATCCATATCTGCATCTTCATAGAATACTATAGATAAGAATATCAGAATATAAAGTAGATAAGTAAATGAGATTTTTTTAGAAAAAGTAGAAGCTCCATTGCGTGTAAAAATTATCTTTGTTTTGACGAAGGCATATCCAGATAAATTTTTCCAAGAAAAATTCTCACTCAAGTTAACTTTGGAAAATAAAGGCAAGTATTTATTTCGCTACGCCACTGATCGCGCGTGTACGCTTTGTCAGTCTACTCTTTGCGTTGGCGAATGCCTCGAGCGATTTATGCTTTGTATCCGATGCGCCCTACATACAAAATCGGCTTTTAGTTGGTTGCGGCCCTGACTGCTTCCTTGACTTTGGCACGTTGTAACCAAGAGAAAAGGAGTCTCTCTCTCTCTCTCTCTCTCTTTCTTACATACACACACACACACTTGCTGTGACACGACATAAGAAAAACGCTCAGGTAGCTCTATACATAGCATGTGTCCTCGCTGACACTGACATGTTTCACCTATCGCTAATTTACGAACTACTTGACCTAGGTTTATTGTAAAAGATACGAATAAATCTAATCTTGTATACTATGGAGTAGAATAGATTACAAAATCGTTTCTCTATGAGCTATCGACCATCGATCCCGTAAATCATGCGAATAAAACTGACTGACGACGATATATGTCTAGATGTATCATCGCAGAATTATAAAAATAGCATATAACGATTTTACGTAATCAATATGAATTCGCACGTGCCGTACAATACTTCACGCGTAGTGTTATCGTATTCAGCAATAAAAATTATATACATATTTGATTACTCGCGAACGTAGTAAAATATCAGAAAAAAATATTGATGGTGAATTATTGTCACGTTTAACAGAATATTTTTAACAGAATATTTTGTTGATCTATAAATATAAATCATAAAAATTGTGCACAAATCGATATATTAATCGTTGATGGAAATATTTAAAAAAATAACTGCTGATAACATCTCGACTATTAAAACTCTCTCGCTATCAAAACGCCATTAAAACTAATTGCAGATTTTACTAGTTATCAGTGAAAAGACTAATTTCAATATAAGCTCATATAATCAAAACTAACGCAAGTTCTTATATCATTGCCCAATAATAAATGTTTTAACAAAAACGCATCTGTATGTATAATTAATTGCAATTAGAAACGCTATTTAACATAGAAATCATATAACACCATGAAATAATTATAGGCCAAAAATCTGTTTAGATTTATCGTCACGTTATAAAGCAACAACAAATTTTACATTCATAGAATTAATCGCGCGATAAATGTATTTCAAACGGCTGATTAGTAAAGAATCATTAATATGAACAGAATAAAAAAAATAACAATAGAATAAAAAAAAATACAGTACTATTTTATAAGACTCGGTTTATCAAACAACGTAATTAACCAAGACGATAACAAGCGCGAATTATTAGTATCTTCAACGCGTATTTCTTCACAAAGATACACGTGTGCGATTAAAGAGACCTTGTCTAGCTTTCGACAGCATATCTACAATCAACAAGGTGATGCATAATGCCCATTTTGCACGGTATATTATATAATAGAGGAGCTATTTAAAAAAATAGTAGTATATATATTCCGCAAAAATCTCATCATTAAATTCTCAATCTCGGAATAAATATACAATGTTCTTTTTCATCGCAAAATTAAGCCGGTATTCAGTCCGTTCTAATTTCAAGATGTCTTATAAATAGTATCTTAACAATCCTAATATATACGCCTCTCTGATTAATTCATGACATTTTAAAATTGTTTTAAATATAAGACTGATTATAAATGCTGGTCTCAAAATTGATGACATAAAAATTCGTCGGAGAATTTTTTTCTCGAGAAATAATACAATCGCGTAAGAGAGGCTTAATTCTTCATGTACACAGGAATCGAGTCCATTAACGGACATTTGAATTATTTAAGTCGCGTACATCAAATTCTCGAAAGCCTTCGCGCGATTCTATTTCGCAATCATTATTCTATATGTACACTGTCTATGCAAAATTTTTAGGTAGGACAATACTACATACTCAATCGGACAATCGGTACTCGAATCACTCTGTGAGAGATTCTACGATGATAAGAGTGGTTCGTACGAGACATGTTTACTTATAACAAATAAGTCCTATATACTGTTCATCATTACGCATCTCTATAAATAAAATTATATTTTTATATATAAAAGAGATGATGAAAGATAAACTTGTATTTTAAAAGGCGTATAAATAAAGTTTAAATATTCTTATCTCAATAAAACAAAAAATTATTGTACTAAACACACACAAATTATATATATGAATGTTTATAGACAAAAAATTTTTACACAAATTTTGAAATATTCGATTACAGAAAAAGCAAAATGCGAAAAACAATTTCGCTAAAATTTCTATAAAAAAATTTAAGTAGATCCAGATCTGAAAATAATTTTATTGGACTATGTAAAATAATTACATAGAAAACTGAAGCATAATAAACAATGGATGAATATGAATTGAACGTTCTATAGAATAATTTTGATGATTTCAATAAAATTATTTTCGGATCTGTATATCCAGCTAAATTTTTAGATATTTCAGCAAAACCTTTCTTTTCGATAAAATTCTGAATTATTGCCTGTCAGAATTGATAGCATTAGATAATAGTCTACGTGCGATAACATAGTAAGCGCATTTATAATACATACATAGATGCAAATTATACAATGGGTAAAATTCCTCTACTGATAATAACTATACAAACATAACATGAAAACAAAAGCACTGCTCCATATCGAGATACTATCGAGATATATGTATAAGTAATATTTATGAAGCATTTTAACACACACGTATATATACATATATTCATTGAATATGCGTAGGATGAATTATACTGTATCGGATATAAGAAAGAGATTTACGAAGAAATACCGAGATCGTATAAAGGGAACAGGTGCTAGATCTATAGCCGGTTCGTTAGCGTAATGTATAATAGAATGGAATACTATGAGCGTTTAGGCTCAGATGCGAATTCTGCGATGATCTCGCCAGACAAGTCTGAATTGTTGGGAGCACCAACCGATAGTCTTATAGTCGATTGAACGTGAAATGTTCGAGATCAAAACAACCAGAAAAACGTTGACTAATTTACATCGTCGAACTCTCATAAATATATTAGATACAGTTGTGAACTACAATTCTCTGAAATGAGAATTTTTAAATCTTTTTTTATGATTATTTCACAAATCACGGTCATTAAATCCACTTTTTCTCATGCAAGGAATAAAATATTAAATGTTAATTTTAATATAATTATATATACAGCCTTCGCCAAAAATATTAGGCGTTTTTTATTCATCTAGAATTATTTTATCTATATTGTTTCCTGTTGATTATTGGCATTATATATAATAAATTTGAAGGATTCTTGAAACAAAGGATAATTTATAGTAAATAATTTTTGAGAAAAAAAACTAAAACTTTA